CAGTGTCGACGAGGTAGCGAACTCTCGTTGTCACATCTGTGACGAATAACAGACGGCTTTGTTCGCCGGCTACGGTTGCCGTTAACGCGTGCCGGCTTGGAAGTTTCCCGAATTGTTTTCGAATCAGTCGGTTTCGTGTTGGGAAAATTGCAGGGTTTTCTGCAATTTCTGGAAAACTTTCCATACTGGTTATGATACCAGCACCAGTCGGGGTTATCTGTCTCTCGTGGTCTAGAGACAGATCGCTTACGAGAAATGCTTCTACGTGGTGTGCGCGATCTCTTACGGTCGGTACGAAGACTAAGATAACGCGTGAGTGTGTGACATAAGTCGGTTATGTCATTCTGAGTCGTGTGAGGCTTTTCTTTGACTGAAAATACCTCGGTAGTAGAAGGTTTCGTAATTTCTAGAATGCGGTCGGCAGATACAGCTAGTTCGTCTAAGGCGTTGTTCTGGAACGAGACCAGAACTGCTTGCACCTGTTGGGGAAGTTTTGACAAGAAGAGTTGTTTGAATAGACCTTCGTCGAAAGTTCTTGGGCCTATAACCTCTCTCATCCGTTGCAACATGTCCGTCGCAGAACCGTGTTGCAGGTCGATATTGTTGAAGAGTTGATCTAACCTTTGTCGATCGGTTAGGTCTCCTCGTTTAAGAATCGAGCGTTTTAAGATTTCGTAAGGATCGGAAACATCACTAGTAAACATACTAGGTGTTACGTACCTGTTGAATTCCCGCGGCAGTGCCTTGACTACTGCGAGGAATTGTGCACGTGTGTCGATCACGCCGTGCTCGGAAAAGTCGGCTTCTGCGTAGCAAAACCAGGCTTCGATGTTGTCGGGCCAGAAAGGCATCAGTTGAAACGAAGGTGGGGACAAGGTCTTAAGCTTGAGTACTTTAGGTGTCTGTTCAGTCATGATGAAATATGAAGTACGATAATGAACGAGGGGAAAATATATATATATATCCAAGAAAAACACGAAAAAAAATCACAATGTTTAAAAAAAATAAAAAATAAGGCAATGATATATAAAAATCCCAAAAAGGAACAGACTCACAGTTGCAATAAGGTGTACCAGATCACGACGGTCTCACCAATGATGATGTCACAGGTATTCAGTGTTTGACAACGCTTCTACCAGTAACACCTTCTAATATGTTTCGTTCCCACCAAGAGAAATCAAAAGACAGAGTCGAGGAGATCGGAAGAGTATATTTGGCGATGACCAATATACCGGGATTCTCTGATCTAATCTGGCTAGCGATTGTGGTTGATGTTGAGCACGGCGTTACTACACGTGATCTGGTGCGGATGCCTGACCGAGCGCCTTCAGCTAGATGAGTCCACTAAAACATATGGTCAGCATCCAATGTCGAAAACTTACAGAGCTATTTATTTTAGGGATTTATTTACCGCTACAGGACTGTAGACACGAATTCTACTCCTTAAGAGTTGTCAAATGCTGGAGTTCGCTGCCGACTGAACTAGTCCAAGCGACGTCCCAGGAGTCCTTCAAGAGGAAATTTGACCTATTCTTAGAGACCGTAGATCACCAACGTAGATGCTCAATGTCGAAATGACTGTAGACCTACTCGAATTAGACGGGAATGGTGTGACAAAACAGCTAACGTCGAAGTCACACTTCGTGGTCAGAACCTTATGTGGACTACCCCATTGACGTATCAAGGTGCTATAGATGCTTTGAAGACTGTACAACACAGAGGACGTTATTACAGAAACATATCAGTTAAAGTAGATACACTCGAAAGTAAGACCACTGCCGCATGAGCCAGTCCATCGCGTACGATTAACTGATGCGCATTGGTTGTCCTTGAACTTGGTAAGGATTGATGATCTGTCCGATATTCAATGACCTAACTGCCGGATGATTTGGCAAGGGCTCAGTGACATTTCGCTGGCCCTACAGGACTAAGGATAACATCTTATTATGATTTACCAATTTCTTTTTTTCCTCTATTATCGTTAATATACCTAGGTTCCTGCCTGAAGGTATTGGTGATCCCCTGCTACTAGACACGGAAGCCCGTTAAGCCAAAGCTTCTTCTATTCCGTCCACAATCATTTGAACTCTTCGAACCATTTTAATTACGTCCAGCAGAATCTAAAAGTTTTCTTCATCCGAGTAGTCATATCAAACTTACCAACGCCAAAGACCTGGGAGAGGTTTTTAAATACAAAACGCTGAAGCTAAAGAGACAGTATATCACAAAGGTATTGGAAATCGTATAATTCATATTAATTCTCGCGCGCTCAATCCACGAGCAACTACCTTGGATCTGATTGGCTTCCTCAAACTTACCTGAAGGACGGTAATGCATCATTTATGTTGGTTTTCTTTTTTGTTGGGATCGTGAGAGTTTGGTAGTCTTGAGTGTTCAGGCTCTCATATGAAAGTTCAGGAACTTTCCTAGTTAGGACTAGGAATTAACCCCATGCTTTGAAAAACACCTATTTTGCACTACATGACGGATTCTAAGGCAAATTACCTAGATCTTATTGTTTATTACATAGTTTAGTATGACGTCCTTTACTTTCAGATATTTTTATGAAGACAGTTACATATACAGTATCGGTATGCATAAAAGACTTTAATGTGCTCTAATTTTGAACAGAAATAAGTTTGTGACGTCACTAGTCTTCAGTAATAAGGATATATCCTTTTTACTTTAGTAAAAACAAACTAGTGAGAACAAATCATGATTAAGATTTATTTTTCAATTCATTTCAACTGATGTCAGACATTTAGTAAATCCCACAGTTGTTTATTGGTTGCTAAAGTGAGGATAAAACATTTAGACATACTTCCATTGTCATTTATATTTATTGAGATCTTGAACCAATTGATGTGCTTTGTTGATCGAATCCCGGATGGCTGTTAGTCTTCCAATCATGTTTTCGTATGCATATAATCTCAAGAATTGTGCACATTGGTGGTGAATTTATAATTGGTAGCTGATCGACTCTTGCTTATATGAGCGAATAAGTTACAGACATGTCCTAGTCTCCCTATTTTGGAAAAATATTGAGAAATCCCCAACATTGTGGGGGACTTCCTCATATCTGGGGAAATTTCGGGGTCTTTGTGCAATTTACCCAAAATTTTCTATAGCGACTTCCTCGAAATCGGGAGATTAGGTTGCGCTCATGTTACCTTGTGACTTTACTTACGGGTGGTACATATTTATCAGACACATTACGCGGGAGGTTTTACATACTGCTAATGCTTGTTAGAAAATTATGATAGCCGATTATATTCGAAGTTGACTAGCTATTTCGATCAATTAAACTAGTTAGTTAAGTGTGAATACTAATCGATATCAATATAAAGCAGCGAATGTTTGCAGTAACTGACAAACCTATGCGATGATAGGAGTGAGTATAGAATGCAACCATAAAGATAATAACAGGTTGCGTTACTCAAAGTCTTACTCGCCAGTGTAGGTTGTCAACGTCGGCGATATGTGTCGATGGTCTGGGGCTTGGCCTGAATGAGAATGTCGTGGCTTCCCAGCTTACTTCAAAATCACATCTCGCGGTTTTTAGCTAACATGGATTACCCTTCAATCGTATCCAGGTACTGTTGTTGATGACTGTACAACTAAAACAACGTCATGACAGGAATGTATTAGTAAGAATAGATACAAGAACAGAGTATGACCATTGTAGTTAATTGATGCACGTTGGCTGTCTTTGATATTGACGATGGTCAGCAAGCTGTTTGATATTCAGTGACTCGACTGCCAGATGATTTATATAAAGCCCGGTCATATTTCAATGGCCCTACATGAATTCCAAAGTCCCGTATGTTTGTGTGTAAAAAGTTGCTCCAGACGGGCTCAATCGTTCTTAGACTTCCAAACTATCCTATGGTACCAAGTTGTTCTGAATTAGTTGCGGGGAGGGGACAGACAATATCAGATCCGAAATAATTGAGTGTCATGTACATTATAAATAATCCAGTTCTTAATATGCGGTAGGGTAATATGAAAAAGTTTAACTTGTGCAGCCATCCAGATAATCCGAGTGTCTCCCAAATTGTCTAAGCAGAAGTCCTCTGAACTGTTTTCAGACGAGTCAGATTTTAACTTTTTTATTTCGCTCCTTCTCCTCAAACCATGTTCGCTATGTTAAGTTTTGGTATCATTAATACTAATATTATGTCAAATTATTTGTTATTTACCTTGCTAATTTCATCTTTGCTAAAGTGATGCAGCAGTTCAGGTCAATGTATATTTATTCGTAGTCATACGTTGATTATGACTCTCTAGGCTGTTTCATTCTTATGCAAATACGTACAAACCGCACGTAATTGATCAGGGATCATTCAGTGTAAATTTCTGTCCTACAGGACTCTAATAGCTACCCGAATAGCTCGTTTTTTTTATGACATGGGGTGATGTCAGCTCAAATTATGAATAGCATCAGTACCCTCAATAATTCAAATACGTCTTGCCAGCGAGTAACAACTAGCACAAAATCCAAGTTTAGGACTTCCTGCTAATTACCTCGAATCACCTAATAATATCTTGTAACCGTCTGCTTCTTCTTAGTGCACGTTTACATTGTTCAACTTCCTACAGAAATGGTAAAATCATATAGTTGATTTTAGTTACACGAAATATTTGGTTAAACCAAACTTGTTACTTCATGTTTCCTGAGTTTCAGCTAAGCAGACTTTAGTAATATTAGTGTTACAACATGGTTTACGAGTTTATTTTAAACTTCTAATTTAGATGGATATTGCTGAAATCCTACTCTCACAATTTCCTAATCCTCAACATCCTTATGTTGCTAAAAATGGTGCCTGTACATGGAAAGCCTGCCAAAAGTGGGATCTGCATTATCTGTCAGGGAGAATAAAAAGTAACTTGAAATTTCGTCTGGCTAAAAAGAAAGTATCGAAGTACAGTGGGAGACATCTTGTCCGTCTGTTAATGCAACGTTAGCAGAATTTAATGAATGGATAAATGGAGTAGACAATATGAGTAATCCTTTTTCTAAGTACCCTAAAGAATCTTGGTGGGCTTATGCGGATTACATATATATGAATCAGTCACCTGATTTTCAAGGTTTAGTCGAAGATTTATCGTTCCAAGAATTGTTCCCGTTTCTAAAAAGTAATATCAGTCCAACATTTTGGCTTGGATCGTCTAAAGCTCATACCATTTGTCATCGAGATACCTACGGAGTTAATCTGGTAGTACAAATCAAAGGGTCCAAACGCTGGATATTATTTCCACCTTCGGATAGCCCACATATGTATGAAACTCGATTACCTTTAGAAGAATCTACTGTTTTTAGCAAAGTTAATTTCACATTACCTAACTGCAAAAAACATCCTCTCATATTAAAAACAACTCCTTATCCTGTAACACTTTATCCAGGAGATATTCTTTTTGTCCCAAGAAATTGGTGGCATTTTGTTGAATCATCATCTGAATATGATTTTACTTGTTCAGTAAACTTATGGATTGACCAACCTTCACTTGATAATAAAGCACGCCTTAGAGAATGTCTCACACAATTAGTCGGCTTCTCTTTGTTATCTAATTATGATCGTAGTGATCATAAAGTTTTATTACATCCATCTGAACAAGCAACATATGAAAATGAGTTTTGGTTTAAACAACTATTGGATTATCTATATATACTTTTTCATCAAAATCCAAATGAATTGTCTTCCAATGGAGAAGAGAATCTAGAAGAACCTTCAAAAAAAGCTAGGTTTTCTAGTATCATCAATTGGACACCCTTAACTTCAGAAAAGCTAGACAGTTTATTTAGTATTTCAGAAGAAAATTCCACATCCGATGTTGTTAATACTCTTAACTTCGAACAGATTGTAGATGCATTCATGAAACCTGATGTTATTGAATTAGTTGCAAAATACCTTGAAAAAGATGTTGTAAATAAAGATTTGTAAATAGAAGCATTTGCTTGGTTCCTTGCTTTTGTGCTATACCTTTTATTATCTACTGTTTGTTCATTTCTCATTTATTTTAGGTATATAGTCAGATAACTACTTCATTGTTGTGCAAATGCAAGCATGTCCATTAAATTCCAAAGATTTGTTAAAATTACGATGTCGATTTCGTACTGGACAGTATACTTTGAGTGATTTAACTTCCGATTCAACCATCAATGAACTACTTCAAACAATTACCTCACTTGTAGGTGTTACACAATCTCGTATATCACTTTATTATGGTTATCCTCCCCAAAAGTTGGATTGTAGCATTTCAAGTCTTAGTAAACATCTCTGGGAGGTTAGTCGTATAACCTTTTAAAAAATTCATCTATACTAGAGGTGCTTTGGTACATTATATATATATATAGTTGTCTCTAGGTCTTTGATCATGTCTCAAGACCACCTCTAACCCAGTCTGCTTTTCAGGTGCCTCAGAAGTAATATATATATATATATATATATATATATATATATATATATATATATATATATATATATATATATATATATATATATATATCACTCCTTGATTACCTTTGCCTTAGGAGAATAATTACTTCTGAGGCACCTGAAAAGCAGACTGGGTTAGAGGTGGTCTTGAGACATGATCAAAGACCTAGAGACAACTATTTGAGGTTAGCCACATATAAATTTTTTATGGATAGTCTTTATTACACTCCATTTGCACTTTACAAGTCTTATCTTCATCGATAATCTGTGGTGAAAGATAATGTGTTTTATTTTTGAAATCAACCTTTCTAACCCCTCTCTCCACTTACATGTAGTGTGTATACTTTCCTCTCGTGGCATTTGTGTCTCTTATACGTTCGTACACTAAGCTGCTATTTCGCAACTCGAACTTCGATAAAGTTAATTGGAGTTTTATCCTCTTCTCCCTTGTCCGCTAACTAAAGTAAGAAGTCCAATTTTATAGCTCTCTTTATTAAGATTTTGCGTAATAAAATAGCATTATTCATTTATTTATTTAAACATAAACATTGGTACAAGAAGGCAACAAATAGATATGCACCACATAAATCATCCGATTTGTGTGAAGGCTAGGATACTGCACGGGTGCTCAAACCGAAGCAGGTGGTTTTCTTAGGAGGCCACGCCCGGAGCCCTCGACCTCAAGGTGTGATCCACGAGGCAATGGAGCAACATCAGGAGATGCAGTCTCATGGTAGCCGGTGACCAATAATAGGTACATACGCCATTTGTTCCTTCAGGATCCTGGAGCCCATATACACCACTGGTTTGGGATGAGTGTTTTCTAACTCCCCTAGATGGAGTCTACGTGTCCACCAACCCGGTTAAAGCTCCGGACATTTCTTTTCGTCCTCTGAATTTCTTAAACAACACACGTGGTGCGAGAAGGGAGTGAGTAAGACTTCGCTGGTAGTGGTTGCATTCACGTGACCATATGAGAGCATTTAGAGAGTGAGACCTGACTCTCCCCACGCTTATCCGTACCAGGGTATTTGGGGGCAATAAAAGGGCATTCTTATACACAAGTATCGGCATATAATAAAACCTCATAAGCAATCGGAGGAAATTAGTTTGTAGGTTTTTCAGTCTCGTATCCCCAAGTAAGAATGAAAATATTCATATCCAACAGTACCCATTTTTCAGTATCTCACTTAATGTCATTTTTTGTAAAAAAGAAACTACTTTTTAATGAAATGTAACTATATGATGAAATTATTCAGGATAGTCTTTAGTAAGGAAAGTAAACAAGTCTCAAACCAGTGTCTTCAATGTTACTTCCCTTTTTGGTCTGACTTTTATGGTTTACACTCTTGATTATCAGTCATTGTTTTGACTGTTTGGAATCGTCATTGCCCCTTCACATCCACGTATATATCACGGTAATCCATATATCTGTGCGAAATTTTCGATACACTTAATGCACTGTAATCTAGTCTATTAATGAAAATCGTCTTATTTTTAAAAATGATATATGAATCTGCAGATCCCTCTTCGTTCGGGTGACATGCTTACTGTTGATGTAACGGAAGAAAAACCAACAAATGTCAGCTCACAAACTGGAAGTCATCAACCTCATGAACATGAAATAGTCACTAATAAACAATCTGAATCACATATTGTCCGATTATCTGCACCATCTGATAATTCTTGTCTATTTACAAGTGTTCTTTTCTGTATGAATAATGAAGACAATCATTTAAAAATTGGTACAGAAGTTGTAACAAATATTGCTGAAGTCAGTAATTTAAGAGAATTAATTTCCGGTATTGTGTTAAGCGATCCAGTCAAGTATTCTGAAGCATTCCTCGGGATGTCAAATGAACAATATTCACTTCAAATTAGACAAGTAAGCAAATGATGATGTTTGTTTTGTGAGTGCTTTGCTTATTCCCTTTTTTGTCTTTTATACGAAAAGTTGTGGAGCGACGACACATTGAATAAATCACTTAGTTTCGAACTAGTAGGCTACAAGCCTTAGTCATATCCCGCCTAACGTGGTATGAGGAGAGCTAGGTAGTATCGCTAGCTCCCTCACCTCCTCGTGCGATGTTGGCTGGTATAAGAGTACTGTAGAAAAAAGCTAGGGTGACCAAACCTAAACGTAGCATGAGTCTACAAAGTCATTGATAATCGGAATGAACCATGTAGGTAGGTTCAAACTGCGTAGTTGAGCCCGTACCATTATCGTAACGAATGATTAAGGACTTTGAGTGATGTGACTCGAAATTGTTCACTATGGTACAGGTGCATTTACTTTTTATTTTCTCTTAGATATGAGTAACTGAAAAACCGCTGACACAGTTAAAGTTTGACTCAAAGGTGTTTTACATACGCTTGTCCTTGTTAAATGAATTAAATTACATTTAATAATTGTATTAACTAATAACCATTGTGATAAAAGAAAAGGTGCATCGTAATTTGTATATATTTGTAACAAGAAGGGGAGTTTTCTTTGAACCTGAGTTTTATACTATGCAGTCATATACAAGTTGAATGAATGACTTTGAATTATCTGATTATCGTCACCGTCAATATTACTTTGAAATGTAATTTTAAAATGCTTCTGGGTACTTGTATTCGTATTCACTCTTTGTATTGCAAAAAATATTTAATGCATAAGGAAGTTAGTCGTGGTTTTAGTATCGTGGAGAAGATAAGTCTACGTATAAAAAAGTCCATAATACGTTTACTAAAAAATGGGACACCTTTGATACTGTTTAGAAGTTGTTTGATCTTAGAAGTTAGGGACATACATTAGGTTGATAAGAGGAATTCTACCGTATTTTTGTGAAATCTAGTCTCTCCAAGTTTCAAACGTTCATTCATCATTAACTTTAAGAAGATTTCTGAGGTATGACGAAAACACTTTGTAATCAATACTATGGTCTTTCAAGATGTATTCTTAGTCATAGTGGGAATGGACGTAAAAAGCAATATCAAAGTGTTGATCACTTCATTTATATAATATATATATTAAAAATAGTTACCCTATTTCTTCTTGTGAACTATACCTTAATTGATCATGTGATAGTCGTTTCTATATTATGTAAGTACCATCATATGACATCGTTCCACTTATGCCATATGTTAGCTACACATTATACTACTAGCATCTTTACCCTCCTTTCTTAAGATCACTATTCACCTGAAAATCTTATATTCCTTATATAGTAGTTCAATCGATTTTTGTTTATTAATGAGTTTAGTAACAATATATGGTGGTATTTCTATTTGTTGTTATATTTTAAGTAACATTAAGTTAGTTTGTGATTTTGTTAATCCATACTTAAATAACTGGCTCTCTGTTTTTTGCACGGTATACGTTAATAAACAATATGTTATTTATTTATTTGAACACATAGATATTGGTATAGGGGGGCACTAGATACATATGCGAGAAGGCAGTGAGTAGAACTTCCTTGGCAGAGGCTATATACGCGTGGCCATATGAGAGCATTAGGAGAGGGAGAGTTGACTCTCCCCACTCCCAGCTGTACCAGGGCAATTTGGGGCATTATTATAGTTTAACTGTTAGCTTATTTGCATCTGTTCAACCATTTTTCGACTCTATTTAATAGCAGTAGGATGTAGATATTTTCTGACTGACTAAACAAAATAATCACAGCGCACTGGATAATTTCTACTATGAATTGTTGATTGTTTGATCTGTGTGTTTTTAATTCAAAATACTAATGATTCTTAAATTTTCTATGCTGTGATATATTGAAGATGATAGGATACTTCATGTGTATACCTAACTAAGGAGATAAAAACCCAGCTAGTTGATGGTCCAACTGTCGATGTTGACGCTCGCAAATCTGTTTAGTAGTAGTTGTTTTAGGACAAAGTCAAAGATAAAAGTATAGTCTAGAACTTCGCATCGAACATAGTTCTTACCCTTCCCCAAGCTGAAAACTATCATAATACATAACAATAACAGCATATAAGGTACCTCTTTTGTGTTTATAGGCAAACTAATGTAGATCCATATGTACTTTTAGCCCAGGTTGAATTGGGAGTAGCATTAGTTTTTCCATTGTTTTGAGAAAAGGTGAAAAGGTTATTGCTATGGATCTAAATTGTACATCCTTATCAGCAGATACTTTCTTAGGTATTGGGACTATCTTAATCGTTCTCTACATTTTTGGTATAAGATTATTTGAGAAGGATTCGTTAAAGATGCTCGTGAATGGAGGACAAAACGTCACATTTCTTAAAACGGAGGTTTTGGATTTCTTCAGGTCCCGAACAATTGGACGAGTTAAGTGGCTCGGGATCTTTTTGGACATCAGTTCCAGTGAAAATTGGGAGTCAGTTATTCAAAAACGTAGAACTTCGTACGTACGTACATCAGTTCGATTCAAATCCCATAGTGGTACAGGTAGTAAAAGTATAAGTAGTAATCGGAAAGATTAGGGTTTTAAGATGTTATTCTAGGAGTATAATCCAGTCAAATAAATTTGGAAAGAGAAAAAATGGGACAAGAAGAATTCAGAAGATTAGAACATAGATGCACCTGCGCCATTGCAAACGATTTTGAGCCATGTAATTCAAGGTCTCTAACCATCGGTTGCTACCGTCTAACGGATCCCAACCAGGTAGTCTACACCTACCAACATGGTTCAGTCCACCTATCAGTGACTTCATGAATTTGTGCCATGTTTTGGCCGCTCCTGTCTTTCTTCCGACCTACTTCTACACAATAAAACATTGCACGTCGGGGTAGTCGGTGGTTGGGCATACGTAGTAGATGTCCCAGCCATCTCAATTGATGATGTTTCACTACTTCATCAATTGATTTCCCATCCTTACCTAGTACTCATTTCCCAACAACTGCATTACTTACTCGGTGGTCCCAGGATATACGAGCAATATTTCGAAGACACCCATGATCAAATACTAGTAACCTACGGATATCCTCTACTCTTACCAGCCATGTTTCACTGCCATAAAGTAGGACGGAACGAACTGCTGCACAGTAAACACGTCCTTTGGCTGGTTGACGAATAATCTCGCCTACGTCATAAATGAGGCAAGTTCGCAAAAGCTAGTCGAGCCCTCTGCATCCGCGCTGAGATTTCGCCAAATACCAGACCACAAGGGCTGATGAGACTTCCAAGATAAGTGAAGTGGTCGACACGCTCAACTACACACCTGTTCTTGAAACCTTTATTATTATTTATTTAAACACATAAACATTGGTACAAGGAGTCACCAAATACATATGCGCCACATAAATCATTCGATTTGTGTGAGGGCTGTAATACTGCCCGGATGCCCAGACCGAAGCAGGTGGTTTTCTTAGGGGGCCACACCCCATTCTTCAAACCCTTGTATATAAGAAGCATGATATCACATGGTTCATATACAAAAGACTTATTTAGGTCACAAGCATTCATTAACTAAGCAATGCTAACTTTATTTATCTAGTAATTAATGGTGATTATAAATCATTTATTTATGCGTTGCATAATTCTAATCACTGCCTGTATAAATGCACTCTAAAGGCTTTGGTTACGAATAAGTTCGAAGAATTGCTAGGATTGCCTAAACGATATATAAAGTAATCATGTATTAATGGTGTGATTCGTCCCAGTTAGCTTTAGGATTATGATCGTAGTTCGGTGGACAGACTACTTCGCTTTGGATCCATTGATATATTGACATAATAATGAAACTAACCTATCAAGAGAAGGTAGTTAAAATGACAACATAGTTGTGTGTACATACCGGTTTTTACTAGTCAGGGAATCTTATAGCATATCGGCTCATTATGTGTAGATCCATGTACATAGCTTCTGGTTACATTCTAAGCGTGAGAATTTGTGACAAATCCCAGCCTCTCAAACCAAAGTAGGCAGAGTGGGGTTCGAACCCCAGACATATTGTCTGAAAGTTGGACAGCTTAACCACTGAGCCACTGTTCCACTATAATGGCGATAAGTACTGTATTCAATGCTTGCTATCACATTCAGATAGTGAGTTCTAGATAGAAAATAATACACACCGAGTCGTCGGTCTGATACTTTATCTTCCACTACTAAATCTATAATCACAAAGATTGTTAAGGGATTAAATACAGGTACATACCTTATTATAATCGTGAAAAAACAAAAAACTTCAGGGCGAAAAAAAGTAAGTGATAATTTTAACAGTTGAATTCATGAGTCGATCTAAGCTAAACTGCCATGGAAAACCTGGAAGCACTAGATGGCCGTTTTGTCCCAGTATGGAACTCAGTAGTACGCATCCATGATCCCGCATGCGGGACTGAAACCCGGGACCTTGGTCTCGCACTTGAACTCTTTACCTTCCCATACTGATAAATGCTAATTATTTAGTTGGATAGATTCTGTCAATTAACTCAATGTGCAAATGGTACTCATCATGGATTGATATGAATCACTATCTCTCAGTTTTAAATTCTACAAGAATCATACCTTAGAACCATTGAAATCTTTCAGTCATCATTCTCCCTTTAAGTCAGTCAGTCAGCCACAACGTAGGACCAGATATATATACATCGGTCGAAGTTGCCATACATTGTTAGCACAGCAAAACGAACACCAAATTCATAGAAGTAGTTAGTTCAGTAGTGGTAATATATAAAAGAACGATTGCATATGACGATATAGTACAAAAAGAAAGAATTAGTTTGTAGAAAGAACGATATGAAGCAATTTTAATCTCTTAGTTTAAGGGCAGACAGGGAGTGTATACACCTATACCATTGTGATTGAATCTGAGCCATATCACCCACGGTCTCCAATCGTTGGTTACGATAGTCATGCGGACCCCAACCAAGTAACCTGTATCTACCAACATGGTTCAGACTATAAGTTAGTGACTTCAAGCACTGATGCCACGTTTTGATTTGGCCGACCCTAACTTCCCTCCAACTATCTGCAAAACTAGTCAGCATTGCGCGTCGTGGTAGTCGATTTTCAGGTATACGTAATCACCAAAGAGTCTCAGAATTGTAAACATGTATTATATTTTCATCTTTAAATAATACAATTCATTCACCTAATAGTGATCGCAGTACTTTTGTCTTCTCTTTCTCTCGTTATTTCTCTTGTTATTTCAGTCAGATAAATGGGGTGGAGGTATTGAAGTATCAATTTTATCACAATTATATAAAATTGAAATATGTATTGTAGATATTGAATCATGTCGAATTGATCGTTTTGGTGAAGATCAAAATTATCCTAAAAGAATTTTATTAATTTATGATGGTATACATTATGATCCATTAGCACAAGAATGTCCAAATCGTAATTGTTTAATAACTGTATTTTCATCAAATAATGACTCAGTATGTGTGTGTGTGTTACATTTTATTCTAATCAATATATTCATATTATTATTATTGTTATTTTAACACATAGATATAGGTACAAGGAGGCACCAAATACATATGCGCCACACAAATCGCATTCGATATGTGTGAGGACTGTGATACTGCCCGGGTGCCTAAACCGAAGCAGGTGGTTTTCTAAGAGGGCCACACCCCGAGCCTTCGACCTGAAGGTCTGATCCACTAGGCAGTGGGGCATCGTAAGGAGATGTGGTCCCATGGAAACCGGTGACCAACAATAGGTTCATACACCATTTGTTCCTTCAGGATACTGGGACCCAGGTGCACCATTGATTTGAAATCCGGTTAAAGCTCCGGACATTCGCTTTTCGTCCTCCCATTTTCGTAAACAACACTCCCGCCACGAGAAGGCAGTGAGTAGGACTTCGCTGGCAGAGGCTATATACGCGTGGCCGTGTGAGAGCATTTCGAGAGGGAGAGCGGACTCTTCCCACTCTCGGTCGTACCAGGGCATTTGGAGGCATATGTGTATTCTCTTTTTGTATAAATATCTTCCTGTAATTATGACAAACTCTTTCATCAGTCCTTTAGTTTAATCCATAGAAAGTGAATTAGTCAAATATGTTAATTGATCATTTTCACCCTTTCCTCTTGGAAATCTTTTTGAGCTGACATACTCTCAGTGTCAATACAAAAAACATCCATTTGGATTATGTTAGCTTTTATTGTTTATGACACAGTAAACATCATCGTTTACCTGTTAGAAACCAAGTATATTACACCGCAATTTATCCTGTACTATTTTATGAGATTAAAGCATGACTTCTAAAGACAGTAGATATATGAGCTTGTAAATTGCTAATATTCTGTTACAATAGTCTCTAGAGTATTACTTCTGTATAATAGAACTAGTAAATGATTAATGTTGAAGTTTACTTATTATTTATTTATTTAAACACATAAACATAGGTACAAAAATGCACCAAATAGATATGTGCCACACAAACCGAGTGACTTGTGTGAGGGCTCCCAAACAGAAGCGGGTGGTTTTCTTAGGAGGCCACACTCCGAGCCTTTGACCTAAAGGTCTAACCCACAATGCAGTGGAGCAACGTCAGAAGATGTAGCCCCATGGTAGCTGGTGATCAATAATTGGTTTATACGTCATTTGTTCCCTCAAGATCCTGGAGCTCATGTATACCGCTGGTTTGGAATGAGTGTTTTCCAACTCCCCTATGTGGACTCTCTGTGTTCATCAACGCGGTTGAAGCTCCGGACATTCACTTTTCGTCCTCTGAATTTCGTAAACAACACCGGTGGTACGAGTGGGCTGTGAGTAGGACTTCTCTGACTGTTTGTATGCACGTGGCCATGTGAGAGCATTTAGAGAGGGAGAGTTGACTCTTCCCACTCTCAACCGTAGCAGAGCATTCGGGGGCTATGTTGAAGTTACGTAGGAATGATTAATTCATTTATAATTTCATAAAATGTTATCTTCTCAGATAGTTCAAATAAATCTTGCACGTTTTCATCCACTAACCTACCTTATCAATGAAATTTAATTCATAATTATGTAACTCATTATCGAGTACAGGTATTTGTAGTTAGCTTCGATTCATAATGTTTGGGAATGTTGATTGGTGACACCTATCACCGTTACCCAAAGTGAAATAAAGATGGTAGTACAAGCAGGGTTCAAATTAGTGATTAAATATTAGAAATATTCCCTACCACTAAACCATTACTTAACAACATATCCATCTAATCACAATGTTGACCATTAGTCACATGTGACCCAATTTGGCGTTAAACTTTGTTAATGTTAGCTGAAAGAGAAGATAATGGATAAGTGATATGACAGAACATGAATCACGCTTGATAATTATCTATGAATTCCATTGGGTAGTGAATAAATGACTTATTGTGGTCATATTCTCCTACCGTTCACTTGTCAAATATCTTACGCTTATGTCAGTAGTTCAATCGTATGCACAGCTATCACTCACCCATAAATCGTATCACTGCATATTATCTCTCAATTCACATTCTATCCATTCATTTTAACTATCAAAAATTGTTTGATCAAATCAAGAAATTCTACTCTATCACAATGGGAAAAACCTTTCATTGGGCACTACTTGACGACACTCTTTGACACAGGATGTATCCATTTCTTTTAATAAAGATGGACACTGGCTAGCAGTGGAATCCAGGTTGTGCGTTTTGTCCTATTTGGGACTCGTCAGCTGGATGTACCTGCATCTCAGAGTTTATGTTCGCTCCGGAACTCGAACCGAGTACCATTCGCTCCATACGCCATCGCATTATCCACTTAGTTACTGAGTCCTGATAACCACCTACTTATGCAATGGGGTGAAGTTTTAAATTCACTTGGTGTTGTTTTACTTGTGTTTTCCCAAAGCTTGTGATTCAAGGCTATATCAAAGCAATCCGCACAGGATGCACATATGTCACCGTGAGACTGATCAATTGCTGTCCTAAATAAAAACAATGGCATGATACAAGTAAAACAACATTAAGTGAATTTCTTTTAATATAATACAAAATTTTCATTATTTCTCCCCCCCCTCTCTCCATTGTTATTTTTATACATAGATTCTTTTTGAAGCTCAACAATTAGCATCAAAAGCTCGTGCTGAATGGGCATTCACTGATCTTTCATCATTTACATTACTCTGTCGACAATGTGATGCACCATTAATTGGTCAAGAAGCTGCACAAAAACATGCACAATTAACAGGTCATACACAATTTAGAGAAATTTTACATTAAAAATATCAATTTAATTGAAGTATATTCAATATAATTGTTACATATCTAGACTGTTGCTTTGTTCTTCTCCCCCCCTCCCCCCTCTCTCTCCCCTTTTCTGATAGTATTACAAATTGAATGTAAAATAAATGATTTGTTTTGCTCAATGTATTCGCTTTAGTTTTCTCTCTGTTTTCTTTTTTGTATTATCATTAATAAGTGTTGCTAATGTTTGTTTTCTTTTTTTTCTTTTTTCTTTTCCGTTTTTCTTTTGTTTTGTGCAAAAAAAATATATTTTCATTGTACAAATTGTAGAAACTTATTACATTGTAGAAATGGTATGATTTCAATTGTTTATCCATTCAGTGTTTCTATGTATCTTTGTTAATTAATCGACTTGTAACTCTGACAATACAATCATGGATGTGAATGTTCACATACACACGCATACATACATGTGTTTTTTTTCTCTTTAGAATTATTGGTTACATTGTGTACATCTGAATAATATTTGGCTGAGGATAGACATTAACACTATTAGATGCCGACTCAGTGGTTTAGAGGTTAAGCGTTCGAGACTGAAAGTCCCGGGTTTGAATCCCACGAGCGGGATTGTAGATGTGCACTGCTGAGGAGTCTCACAATGGGACGAAATGGCTATCTAGTGCTTCCAACTTTTCAATGGTGGTCAGAATACATAGTAAAGGATGTTGAAATCAGTTACAATGGTGCCAGTGTATTCTATATTTATCTTTCTCATGAGCTTGAAACGAATGGCTGACTAATCTCATCTTTTTTCTGGATAGTTGAATATATCTACATTGTAGCAAGTGTTCTTCAATAACTACCAGAGATGATACTGACAATATCTAACTTGTTGATCTAAAGTTCACCTCAAAGACTAAGAATCTAGGGTTCGACTTCTTGTGTGGTCGTGGATGCACACCTCAGAAGAGTCACATGAGGACAAAACAACCTTTCAGTGTTTCTTGATATCTGAGATTATACAAATAGCTCGTGTGCAGAGGTTAATCATTCTGATCTGAAATATCTAGTTGATCGCAACTAGGTAATCCTTCACTGCTTGTGTTGTTTCTTTGATTCTTTCAAGAAAAAGCGTTGTAGTATCGAAAAATCGACTCACGCATAATAAACACCTGTACAAATAACGAGGGTGATCTTGGAAAGTGAATCACATACCAGGAAAGTTAAATATTTTATCTTTGTAAAATGAAAAAGCTGAGAAATAAATAGAATTTTGTTTTTAAAAAGTGTTGATGAGTTTTGAAACTTAGAAATGCTCTCGCCTATATTATGGTACTTGTTACCTACTGTTAACATTAAATGTCTTGGATTTCACTTGATTTCGGATATACGATACATTAATTCTCGTCCTTTTTTAAATCAAGCCAACTTTATTTATTTAAAACACATAAATAAGGAGGCTCCAAATAGATATGCGCCACATAAATCATTCGATTTGTGTGAAGGCTAGGATACTGCACGGGTGCTCAAACCGAAGCAGGTGGTTTTCTTAGGAGGCCACGCCCGGAGCCCTCGACCTCAAGGTGTGATCTACAATGCAATGGAGCAACATCAGGAGATGCAGTCTCATGGTAGCCGGTGACCAATAATAGGTACATACGCCATTTGTTCCTTCAGGATCCTGGAGCCTATGTACACCACTGGTTTGGAATGAGTGTTTTCTAACTCCCCTAGGTGGAGTCTACGTGTCGACCAACCCAGTTAAAGCTCCGGACATTTTCTTTTCATCCTCTGAATTGCTTAAACAACACACGTGGTGCGAGAAGGCAGTGAGTAGGACTTCCGTGGTAGTGGTTGTGTGCACTAGGCCATGTGGGAGCATTAGGAGACGGAAAGTTGACTCTTTCCACTCTCAACCATTTGGACACAAGTATCTATTTGATGCTGTCACGATGCCTATCGTCTAGTTTTGAAGAAAAAATAATCTAATTTTAAATACTCCACAAGTAGAAAACTAATTAAGAGTAAGACTCATTTTTATCATATGTTAATTGGATTCAAAAAGATATTGTAATAGTAACTTTCAGTTGAATTATTATGACCTACATTAATAAAATTGGTTTGAAAACCTCTATTGGAAATCCAATAACTCATAGTGATTCCAGTGATCTTATTAATCAAGGTATTTAGTTTGGTTCAATCAATTATAAAATGTCACTGTCTTAAGATATTATATAACCCAGAATGATAGTGGAATATTTACACTGACATCACATCTACCTGATAATTAAAAATATAAATAAACCTTATGCGTTGCTGAGGGTTTCACTATCCACCAATTTAAGCCTGAACTCTAAGTGCAAAATCAATATGACCAGCCTCTCATCCATCTTTGGGTTTTAATTCTGTTTTGCAGAACTTTCTGGTCTTGTTTTGTTTGGTTAAGCCCTCGTGGAGGGGGGCGGGACCGTGGATACGCACTGTTGGGGAGTCCTAATATTAGGACGAAACGGCCGTCCAGTGCTCCCAGCTTTTCTATGGTGGTCTAGCTTCAATTGACTCATAATTTCAGCTATTGAAATTACTAAAATCTCCACAAAGCCCCTTCTGACATACATTATAGGTTAATTCAGAACACAAACCTGAATTACGGTAATGCAGTAATAGACTTCATAATAATTCTTAATTTAAGTTTTGTCTACTTAAATTATTTATCAGTAGCTTACGTGAAAAATTCGTTTTAATAGAGGTTTCACTAAGTCTTACACTTCCACGATCATATTTATAAAACTGATGAATAACTGTCAATCTATGTTTCCTAATAGTAGTTGGACAAGTTTTTCTACACATGAAAAAAATTAGATTCAACAAAATTAATTTGAGATGTGTTATTTTTCGTTTTTAATAAAAGTACTTTTACACAAACTCCGCTTGTAGCTCTCTTAGAGTTATTACCGGTCACAAGCCCGGATAAGGGAGGAGGGTCGGGCATGGGGTCAGCAACCCGATCCCGTAGAACAAAATTTTGCTAAAAAGACGTCAACTATTACTTTTATACACCTATATATGTCCCATTGAACTCATGAACCGACCTAAGTTAGATCAAAATCCAAAACCTGGAAACATTGGATTTCCGTTTGGTTCTAGAGTGGGGATCCTCAGCAATGGATATCCAGGCTTTCAATGATGGTCTGAGTTAAATTGGTTCATTATTTCAATGAAATTCTATATTCTCCACAATTACATAATTAGAGTTATGTATATCGGTTAATTATAATGTTTTCCTTTTAACTCCATCGTATTCTATATTGATTAACTCTGATTTCGATTAGTATACGAGAAATATTTATAGAGATCCGTATTGTTTCAATTATAAATTGTTGGGGATATCCAGAAAACTCCTCGAAAAAAGCCAAAAAAAAGTCTCTGAAGACACTGAGAAGGATCTTATTTAGTCAGTATTCAATAGAAGCCTTGCAAGATACATCTAGAAAGTGAAAGGTTACATGTTGCTTTTCTGATTGGATGATTACTTGTACCGCTACTTTGTTTAATAGAGTTCCAGACATTTTGGAGAGTTCAAGAACATTTAAAATACTATAAAAACCATGTATTTTCTGTACATAAACGAACCTTTGGAGTAAAGTGTTTCTTATATATTTTGCACCTTTCCTCTGGTGTTCAAGTCGTTGTGGAAATCTAGTCTGGGGGCTAATAGAAGAGCTTAGAAACCGAATGTAGCATTCAGTTAGCAAGACTTATCACAAATATACATATTAAATGATGTACTACCGTCAGTATTTTCTGGCTGGAAATCTACACCTTTGAAATAAAATTGCAGTGTAGTTGTTATCATAAGTTTTACAAATACAATCCATAGGTTATCTCGTTTATTAATTGGCTCTAGATGTACTACTTCATGTTCCGAATTGGACTGATGGATATTTATTGTTAACTCCGCCTTAAGTTCTTCTAGAGTTACTGCCGGTCCCAAGCCCGGATACAGGAGGAGGGTTATGCATGTGGTTAGCGACCTCACCCCGTAGAAAACTAACTCACTAAAAATACGCTAACCAGAAAAAAGAATTCAAACCATTTTAACTCTGCCCTGCGAGTTAGAAGGTCTTCATTTAGAAGAATTATGACGCCTCATGGTGGAAGTCGAGTTCCTTCGGAAGCCACGAGGCCAATGCTTCTTCTAACAACCAGAGCAACAACTTTTATAGGTACATGGAACGTCCGGAAAATGTGGCAGACCGGGAAGACTAGTCAAATAGCAACGGAAATGAGGAGATACAACTTGGCAGTACTTGGAATCAGCGAAACCCATTGGACCAAAGCTGGACAGAAAAGGCTAAATACGGGAGAGATGCTGCTCCACACACCCAGGGAGTTGCTCTAATGCTGTCCAAAGTAGCACGAAATGCACTTGTACGATGGTAATTTCACGGATCAAGAATCATCAAAGCATCATTCTGTTGGGATATTCAGGAAAATATCCCAAGAATTATCCTGTTAAGCCTAATGTTATCCTTGGACATGAAATGGTATCATCTTATTGGTGAATATTTGTTTAACGTGTCATTTTCCTACTGGCCATTATTGTACAATGTTATTTTCTATTTTATGGGACGTTGTGGTCTGCTTGACTGGTATATAAACAAAGTATGTTTGAAATACAATGATTCATAACCCCGAGGCTATGACTTGTGTTCTGGACTCAACTGGCTGGGTTAGATAGGGGAGCGAGACCAATCAGAACCCTAGGTCGTTCTACGTGTTTGTGCGTCTTTGGTCCGATCAATAATTCCCTACCCTTAATCCGCAGCATCATTTTCACGTTATAACAATTGGCGACGGGGTGAAGAAAAGATACAATCCAAAGTCATTCTGTAATTGGACGAAATCCAGTCTAATTATTCAACCAATCAGTATCCAAATTGTCATCAGTGTCCTTGAACCACATTGGTCATTAGTCATACAGTAATTTTCATCACAGGTGCTGATTCGAAAAAATGACTCTCCCTTCCGATCGA